GGCTTTGCTCCCGGTGCCTCTGGTCTGCTGGGGACCATCTCCAGCAGACCAGGGACACCGGGAGCAAAGGAGGCGGAGGGGCGCTGGGGTATAAGATGAAACCCTATCTTTTAATTAAAAAGATAGGGGGTCGTCTTATACACCCAGTCGCCCTATACGCCGGAAAATACGGTAATGAAATTATTTTTTTATAACCTAGGGCATATTGCTATGTCTAAAATCTGGGTGCTAGAGCATCTCTGATTTGCAATGTTTTTATCACCCATAAGCTGCATTACTCACAGGGGAAAATGTCTTATGGGGGAATCTCAACAGCACATATACACTTTTTAACATGTTGTATAGTCCTTGGCCTCTTTTCGGTAGACCTAGTAGCACAACAAACTTGATCCCATGTTCATCCTCTGATACCTTTGTCATGAAGTAGATGTATTTCTGTTTCAAAGTTTCTAAAACAAATTCATTTTATACTATAAAAACTAGATGTCAACAGTCTCTACAACAACTATCTCTATAGTCTATTAAGAATTCATAGATAGGAGATTAGAAAAGCCTCAGGTATATCCTAAACCTTTAACCTTAGCATAATTATTCAAGTCTAGATTACAGGAAAGAGGCCTTTTTTATATCTGGGACACAACCCAACATACATAAATCAATTTCATTTCAGGCTAAACCAGCCCATCTCTCTTTCCCAAAATCTATTTAAAGGAAATCTGGATGCATCATTGACAACATCATTATTATACATAGGCAAACAGAATCAGCTAAATGGTTTTCTAAGATAACTCATTTAGAATCAATAATTGCTTAGTGCTGATGATTCAACATTCATAGCTAAGGAAAGGATAAAAAAACACTAATATTGTATTTCTATTTGCTAGTTATTCTGCTTCCTCAAGTATGACAAAACAGTTTACTATGGCCCAAACAAAGCAAAGTTCAGAAATTAAGGCTTACAAAAATGACTCCTGTTTCTGTACACCAAACTTGAGAACAAATTTCTGAAAGTAGAGAACTCAGCATTTTTTGAAAATGAGGTCCCTTTCAAGATTTACTGTCTTTGGAAATGGAGTTTGAATTTAGTATTTCAGCTTGTTAGGATTTCCAGACTAAAAATATTGATTCCATTATACTTACTGAAAGCAGCTACATTGAAGTTGGCATGCATACTTTCCTGCTGCTTTGGTAGTGTCTGTTATATTCTTGAGGTGGCCAAAAGGCTTCTAAGGCTATGTCTAGACTTCAGGCTTCTTCCAGAAGAAGCTTTTCTGGAAGAGATCTTGTGAAAAAACTTCTTCCGAAAGAGAGCGTCCACACTGCGAAAGCGCATCAAAAAAGTGATCTGCTTTTTCTACAGATAGCGTCCACACTGAATGGATGCTATCTCGCATGTAAGCTGTGATTACTATAGGCAGAATGGCCACAAGGGCACCTGTGCTTTTTCCTCTTTCATGTCCACACATGCCTTTTTCTGAAAGAGCTCTTTCGGAAAAAGGCTTCTTCCTCATAAAAAGAGGTTTACCAATGTTGGAAAAAACCCTGAGTTCTTTTGATTTTTTTTCAAAAGAATGCAATTGCAGTGTGGATGTAAGTGAA